ACCTCAGTGGATTGAGCACGGGCCTGCAAAGCAATGGGTTGCTGGTTTGATTCCCAGCCAGGGCACATGCTTGGATTGCAGGCCAGGTCCCCAGTAGGGGGTGCCTGAGAGGCAACCACACATTGATGTTTCTCTCCCTCCCCTTCTCTCTAAAAATAAATAAATAAAATCTTTAAATAATTAATTAAAAGAAAAGAAACTTCTGGAGGAAGTTCCATCTGGAGATGGATAGTGGTTCTGGCTACACAATAATGTGAATGTGTTCAGTGTCACTGAACTGCACACTTAAAATAGTTAAAATGACAAATTTTGTGAAATTATATATATTAAAAAATTCTAAAAAACAATAAGCTCCAGGCATCATGTAAAATAAAGTTTTTTTGTTTTATTTTATTTTTTTGAGACCCAAACAGACAAAAAATAGTCTATCCTCATACCTGCGCACCTAAATTTTAATGGGATTTACGTGTGCCAAATGTTAAGAAAATTTTTAAAACTGAAAGTGATTTAGTAAAGGTACCATTAGCATATCTATGAAGTTCAAGGCAACTCTCTCTGATATGATAAAGAATAAGAGAGAATTCAACCACCAAAAAATGTAGAAAATACAGCAAGAAAAACATCTCCGTGCATTCCCCTGCGGCAGTGTTAATTAGCGCTCAGGGTCTTTGGTTCCTCTGTAAAACTGCTATTTCTCGGACCTGTAGTGTGCTCTCAGTGATGGGTGCTTATTACTGTGTTTTCTACTGTTGTGACTGATTTTGAGTTTTCAAGATGTAGAGATGTAAATTTGATATAAATAAGTTCAACTAAGCACTGTACTATAAAAATATGGAGTTGGGGAGCCATAAAGATGAGTTTCAGAACCAATATGCAAATATGTTTATACTCATTAAACACAAGTGTAAATGCCAGAGATCTCCTCCTCCCCTTAATTCCTCTAGTACTACCAGGCAAACAGAACTGATAGTATCACAACATATTCCTTGCAGGCATTTATAGCCGACTAAGCATTTTCATGTGTGACTTCATTTTATCTTCGCAGCAATCCCTCTGAAATTCCTATGACAAATGTTACTTTAAAAATTTTCCGACTAATGTAGAGACGGTGACTGGCTGATCACTGAGTTAGACACTGAGTGAAAATTGAGCATCAGGTCGTCTCACTCCAAGTCCAATCTCTCCCTTTATGTCCAGCTGCATATTCTACAGTAAGTGGGAACAAAGTATTGAAAATCTTATGTTCCCATCATTCTGGATTCTTCGTCCAGAAGTTCATTCAAGAACCAAATGGTGGAAAATAATATATTAATCCACAACTTACAGTTTATTTACACAAGTATTCTTGGATATAGGTGCTCAACTCAGTAGAAAGTCAGGCTTTTCTTTAGCAGCCTTAATTTTGATAATTCCAAAAAGCAGATGTTCTAAATTTCTCCAGAAATGAAGATACAATGAGTCATAGCCCCAAATCCTAAGCAGTGTAAGTAAAAGAGTTGGTAGCAAGAGTTGAACTGCAAAACTCTTACAGTGTTGCAAAGGAGAGACACAGCCAGCCATGCTAACACAATTTTGATATCTCCTTTTAAACTATTTTCTGTGCATGTATTTTTTTCCTCATATAAACGTGTTTACAGAGTACATTCATTGCCTTCCCTCCTATTCCAGAGAGTTCAAACTTCAGTAGATCCCCTTCCTCCCTTTTTCTTTTCTGTTCACCAGGGTTTTACTTTGTGGAAGCTCAAGCAGATATTTAGACTCACAGCTCCTAAAATTAGTCGTGTTTGGTCAGTGCTCTGGGCTGCAACACCAATCACCCGCATTACTTCACTGCAAAAACAGACTGCTTTGGTTTTATGTGGGAACATCGTATAACTGGATTGCTGTGTTAGCATAATACACTTGTGTGCAATGGTTTAAGGACCACATTTATTGTGTAAAAGTTTATTTTGTTTTCATACTTCATTATAGGTTAGAATTTTTTTCCATATTGCTGTAATTTGTTTTGTTAATTGCTACATGCCACCTTAAAGTTTATTATTCCTCTAAAGGAAATGACAACTTTGTTCTTTAAAAAGACATAAAAAAACGCAATGACTTAACTCACTTTTAGAGTGCTCTTACTTTCTAGAAAGATGCTGTAAAAAACATGAATGTGTATGGCAAAACTTGTGTTAGGTAACAACTCCAGAGACCAGAACAACTGGCTGCTCGAGAGTATAGTTACCTAAACACTGAACAAAAATTGCCCTTGAATTTTAGAATACATTTAAAACAGCCATATAAATCATAAAGCACCTGCGTAGCTGATTCCAGAAAGAAAAAAATTATAAAAGATTAGCTTAAAAAAATAGACTTTAGGTAAGATCTTAAGGGGTGAGGCATACAAGCAAAATTTAGTTCTTAAGATTACTGATGTAAAACAATGCTAGTTTGCTAATTCTATGGTACTGAGATAATGCCAAGGGTTAAGAAAATGTTGCCGAATAAATTTTTGAATAACATATTTATTATGTAAATGGTAAATGTTTATTGTAAAACAATGGAAATACAGATAAATAATAACAGAAATTATGCATAATCCCTGTTTTGAATATAACCTATGTCTACTTTGGTATATAACCTTTCATACATTTTGACACATATGTTTATATGCATCAATTAGCCCATATTATTTGCATTCTTTTGTTATTTTAACACATTACGACTTTTTAAATTATAATATGTTTTGAAAATTTGGGGTATTATTTTTTCATTTAAAAAAGCCGTGGACTTAACATGGATGAAGTAAGATCCTTCCTGTTGATTTTCACAAAATATCTGTTTGGAAATTATGGGATACTACATTCCAACTAACTGTTACTTTTCTGGTAACCCCACAGAAGCTCCTAGTGTTCCGTCTAAGCGATTATGCCTGTGCATCATGAGCATGGCACCTGTGTTTAAACCACGAAGTCTTTTTTTTTTAATTTTTATTTCATTACAGTTGTCCCATTCCTTCCCCTTTATTCCCCTCTGCCCTGTACACCCCCTCCCACCCACATTCCTCCTCTTTAGTTCATGTCCATGGTCATATATGTAAGTTCTTTGGCTTCTACATTTCCCATACTATTCTTAACCTCTCCCTGCCTATTTTCTACCTACCATTTATGCTCCTTATTCTCTGTACCTTCCCTCCACCCCCTTCCTCTCTACCGCTGGATAACCCTCCATGTGATCTCCATTTTTGTGATTCAGTTCCTGTTCTAGCTGTTTGCTTAGTTTGTTTTTGTTTTTGTTTTTGTTTCAGTTGTTAATAACTGTGAGTTTGCTGTCATTTTACTGTTCATATTTTTACCTTCTTTTTCTTAGATAAGTTCCTTTAACATTTCATGTAATAAGGGCTTGGTGATGACGAACTCCTTTAACTTGACCCTGTCTGGGAAGCACTTTATTTGCGCTTCCCACCAAGTCTTGAGTGCATTGTAAAACCACTACGGACAGATGAGATTCAGTGTGCTGGGGGGCTGAGAATAAGCTGGGGTACAGAATGTAGAATACAGGAATAGGCCAGTGTCAGAAGCACGTGCACAGGCATCACGAAATGCTTCAGTATAGGGAGAGTGAGTGTGGTGAAGGTACCAAAAATTGGAGAAGCATGAATTGTCGGAATAAGCAATGTATCTATAAACTAAGGACCAGCATCTAAGAGACTGTGAAATTGATATGGGTCATCACAATGAATTTTGAAAGTCCTTGACATACATTACTTCTACTAATATTTATGAAATACGAGATTGTTTTATATACTATTGCTAGCTTCAAACAGCTTATAATCTACATAGTATAATAAGAAATGATGGTCAGGTGATGTAGTACAAGGCAGTATGTAAGTCATGTGGTCCAAGAATAAGTGAAACAGGAATTCATGTAATCAAAAGTTACTTCTGCCCTGGCTGGTGTAGCTCAGTGGTTGACTGCTGGCCTGCCAGTTCCATTCCCAGTCAAGGCACATGCGCGGGTTGTAGACCAGACCCCTAGTGGGGGCCACGTGAGCAGCAACCACACACTGATGTTTCTCTTCCTGTCTTTCTCTCTCCCTTCCCCTCTCTAAAAAATAAATAAATAAATAAATTTAAAAAGTTACTTCTGACTCTGGTGATCTAGAAATTTATGATGGTAATAACAGCTTATATTAATCAGTACTTTAATTTCATTTTTACAACACTATGAGGTAAGTTGTTATCAGGAAAATAATGTATATGGTCCTTTACTGTCTTGAAGTCAAAATGACTGGGATTGAATCCCAGTCACTTATTATTGTGGCTTTGGGCAATTTATTTAACTCTATGTATTTCAGTGTCTTATCTGTAGAAAAGAAATAATGATTGTATCTGTCTCCTAGAGTTGTTTTAAATGCTAAATGTGTTAACAGACATAAAGTACTTACAACTAACTACTAATGATGTAGTTATTACTATTAGTTTCATTTTTCATGCTGAAGAAACTAAGATTTGGACAATTTGGGTAGTATGTCCAAGTCATGCAGTTAGTAAATGGTGTAGCCAGGGGTCAGGTTTAGCTCTGCTCACTCCTGAATCTGAGTTCTTATTTTGCGACTTTGATGTTTCAAAATGTAAGCATGAAAAAAAAAGGTCAAAGGTGAAGATTTAATTTCGATCATGGTTGACTAACTTCATGAGTGAAATAGGGCAGAGATTAGGAAAGTTTTTTTTGTTTGTTTTGTTTAGGTTTTTGCTATTGTTGTTTTGGAAGGAGGATAGTTTTCATTTAAAATGTCTTGAATTTTTTTAGGGTAAAATGTATGACTGGTAGCTGGAAATCCTGTACTAGAACTCAGGATTAGGAGTGGAAGTTGGGATGAGGGAGACCGTATATCTTTACAGAGTTAATGAATGCTGTGAGTAGATAAGATCGGAAGAGAGATAATACTTGTAGAAAGCAAAACAAAAAAACAAACAAACAAAGCCAAGGTCAGAAGTCATTGCCTTATTAAACAGGGAGAAGAGAAGCTACTGAAGAGTCCAGAGGAGAAAACGCTACGCTCTTATCATGGAAGATCAAGTCCGAACATTTCAGTGAGGCTGGATGCAGGCTCCCAAGTCTGTGGGTGGAGAGGAAAGACGTCAGTCTGTTGATCCTGAAATTGCTCTTGAGGTACAGGCTTCAGGGGTTTGGAAGAGCCTGCCATAATTTTGAGGGGGTGAAGCGGGTGCACAGAGAGATGTGGGGTAGGAAAAGTACTATTTTTAGAGCATTCAAATATACCAATGTCCTCTTTCTTTTGTCCCGTCACTGGTCTGTAAAGTGTTTTTCCAGGAGTATCTTGAGCCCTGTAAGGGTCCTCTGCAATTGCAGGGTGAGATTTGGTTTCATCAGAACTGTTAGAACAGAGCTGCCCTATAGCCACCGCATTTCCTCTCTGCAATGGGATTTTGAAACAAAGAAACATGCACAGAACATTTTATGACCCACACTTTTGCAACACCACCCTCAGACGACTATTCAAATTCAAATTGATTAAAATTAAATAAAAAGTAGTAAGTTTCTCAGTTGTACTCCACATTTCAAATATTCAATTGCCACATGGGGGTTTTGATTGCTATACTGGATGGTGTTTTTTTCTTTCTTCTTTTATTGAACTTATTGGCATCACACTGGCTAACAAAATTATACAGTTTCTAGGTGCACAGTTCTACCACACGTCATCTGCATGCCATACTGTGTGTTTAGCACCCCATGGCAAGTCTTCTCTTATCCCCCTCCCCTCTTGCTCCCCTCCCCTCTCCTCTGTCATCACCACTCTGGTATCCATGTCCATGAGTTTTATTTCTCTTTTTCCTTTTTTTGTTCAATCTACCCCTGCACCCCCACCCCGACAGTTGTCAGCCTGCTCTCTATCCACAAATCTCTCTATTTTGCTTGTTAGTTCTTTTTGGTCATTAGATTCCACATATGAGTGAAATCATATGGTATTTGTCTTTTTCTGACTGGCTTATTTCACTTAGCATAATGCTCTCCAGGTTGATTAATGCTGTCATAAAGGGCAAGAGTTCCTTTTTTTAACAGCTGAGTAATATCCACTGTGTACACATCCCACAGCTGTTTTATCCACTCATCTACTGATGGGCATCGGGCTGCCTCCAGATCTTGGCTGTTGTAAATAATGCTGCAATAAACATAAGGGAACATACATTCTTTTCAATTAGTGTTTCTAGCCTCTTTAGATATATTACCTGAAGTGGAAGTGCTGGGTCATAATTCACAGTGTTAGTTGTAGAATATTTTCATCATTCCAGAAAGATCTACTAGACAGCGTTGTTTTAGGTGCTATATGTCTTAAGATTTCTGTGATTTTTTATTTATTGTTGTTCTGTTACATGACAGTCATATGACTAGTTTTTACATTTCAGATATTTACAACCACATAAATAGCAATGATAATAATAATCAGCAGCAATTTTTGTCACATCCTGTTTCACTAGTAATTCACCTCATCTATGACCAAAAATTATCTTTATCTCATTTGTCTCAGATATAAAATTTTAACTATTAACAAATATATTTTTATTTTATATCATAGACAGAAGATAATCACTTATCAATAATTTGATCAGTTTATCAGTATAATATAGAAATCATGTTTAAAAGCTAAATATTACTTCAGAAATAAAATATCTCAAAGACTATAAGAATATTTCTTGATGAATTATTATCTAAAAAATTCCTCATTTGAATTTATAACTACTGCTTTTTATTCCATTTGAAAGTGAAGAAAATGTCTCATCTAGGTATTAACTAGAATTTCTACATGATAAATATACTTTTTTGTTTAATAAATATTGATATGCATTGAGGGAGGAAGATTTCAGCTTACCAAAATGATATTTAAACGTGACATCGATTAATATTTTACAAGAGGTACCTCCCAGTAACTACCAGGGCACTTGTAGTCAGCATTGTACGGAAGGCACACCGTCTGCAGACAACTGGCACTTAGTGTTTCCAATATGAAAAATGTCAAAATATTATTCCTTGGCATGTTACTTGATGACCTCCATATCTTTACTGGTGTATTTTCTGTCTCATATTAAGTACAAATGATGTTTTTTTGCATACATGTTTAGAAAACTGAAAAAATATAGTAAGGCAGTTTTTATTCAGACATGGATTTTATTTTTAATATGCACCATTTCAGAGGAAAGTGAAGAGCTTCTGTGTGTGGGTGCTATAGGGTATTTGTTTTTTCTTAGTCAAGTACTTCCAAATATGATCTACCATAAATTTCTTATTATTTATTGTTTCCATTTGATAGAGACACCTGGCCATTACTTTTTTCTTCAAAATTGTAACTTCCAGTCTCATGTGGAAAGAGCAGAAAAGTTTATTTTCCTTTTAGTATTTATATTGACATTAAAAACATGGCACATTTTGCCCTGGCTGGTGGCTTAGTTGGTTGGACCATCCTCTTGTACACCAAAAAGCTGAGGGTTCAATCCCTAGTCAGGGCACATGCCTGTGCTATGGTTGCAGGTTCAATCCCCTGTTGGATCACATACGAGAGACAACCGATCAGTATTTCTCTCTCACATTGATGTTTCTCTCTCATTCTCTCTCTCTCCCCTCCTCTCTCTCTAAAAATCAATTAACATTTTTTAGGTGAGGATTAAATATGCATATGGCAGATTCTGATATTCTGTTTGGGGAGCAGTCTATAAAAAATGAAACAGAATTTTTCCTCCTAGAAATTAACAAAGATAGTAAAGTGATACTCTCCTTGTGTTAGTCTTACTTTTGAAAATTTGTTACAGGAAATTATAACAAGTACTAAATAAAATTAATTCTACTGTCAACTAAAGGGTAGGGATAAACCTGCTAATGTGTTTTTATTTTTATTTTTGTAGGCCTTAGCTAAGGAGTGGCAGAAAAGCAGATAGGAGAGTTAAACACAGTAGCAGTATGAATGTTCTGTATTAGAAGAGGAAGCTACAGTTTTGGAGGGAAGCACCTAATTCTGGAGCACAAAAGGAAGCTAGAAAGCTGTTGAAATTATTTTTATCTTAAGTTTACTTTTACATATTAACTCCTGGGCTAACTTGTCAGTTATTTAGCTATAACTAATGCTTGAAGTGATTTTTTTTTTGTTGGCAAACATCCCCTGTAGGTGTGATTGCGAGTCACTTTTTATTTGTCCAATGGGTTAGAGTAGGGTGTGTAGCGACCAATGGTGCTTGGATTCTGGAGCTTGAAGCTCAAGGCAGTTTCAGTTCTTCCAGATTAGCAATGGATTATCTATTGGGGGATTTGGACTTTCATATTTTAATTTGTATTTTAAACTAAATCCCTCCCGTAGATGATCCTGGACTCTTGGATCAGTCAAGTTCTGTCACCATCTTGGCACTTTAAGTTGATTTGCTGAGTTAATGCATGTTCAAAAATAAGGAGTAACTCTGGTACACAATTGGAAATTTTCTTCTGGCCCTCGTCTTCCATCAGCTATCACATGATCACCTCATCAATCTGCCCTCCCCCATGCTCCGTATGTATTATGTTACCCCCACTAGGGTTCTATCAGTGTGGCTTTAACATCAGACAAACTCAATTTCAGGTGCTTGATGTTGAAACTTTAATTTAGAATCACAGGAGGTTTATTTAAAAGGAACCTATTAGATTTTCCTTTTTAGAGAAGACACTTCTTCATCCAACTCTGAGGTTGTTACTTGTCTTTTCTATCTTTTAGTTATCTATGTCTTTAGGTATCTGTGTTTACAGGTTCACTATGAGGGAGAGGCCAAGTTATGGGATTTCACTCCCTTTCGGTCTTCCCTTCTCTCTGTTCCCAACAGCTTCCTGTCTTCATTTTTGCAGTTGTCTCTCCCAGTTTCTCCCAGTCTCTCCCAGGCATATCAGTTAGAAACCCATTATCCTAGAACCACCGGTAGCTCGGCTTAATTTCTGATTTAAAAACTCTATGTATGTCCATTAACTTCTGTTAACTCAAGCCCTTGTCCTTCTGTAAAGTTAATCGCCTAAATAGCTTCAGCTGCGATTGCCTTGTTTTGTCACTGTTTATTATTTGCTCTTGTACGACCTCTCACTCAGGAAGAGGGCTTTGCCTAAATCTCTGGTCCCAAGCAAAGAACATGGCTGCCCTGGGGTCCTCCAACCCACGTGGAAGGCTTTTTGTTCTCCTGGTACAATCAGGGGCTACAGTTCTGGCCAGGTCCATGCTCTTTCAAATTGTGAACCTGTCCTTTCAGCCCTACTTGCTGATTTGCATTTCTTTTTGGGTTTCATTCACTGAGATTTCATTCAAAAACTCATTCAATGAGTTTTTGAGTCTGTCTCTGTCTTCTGGATTTTTTCTTTTCACATTTTATCTACTTTGTCACGGGTTTGAAGCGATAGCAAGACATCACATCATGAATTCTGTACCATCTTGACTGGAATTTTCTTTTTGCTTGTGTGAAATCTATAAATGTTTTTTAAAGCAATGTTTTACTGGGTCTCTCCAAATATAATTTCATACACACATATATATATGTGTGTGTATGTGTGTATATATATATATATATATATATATATAATGTTAAATGATACTTTTCCTGGTGAGCTAGAATTTTGAAAGAGGTCTCATATCTGAGAACCATGATATATGTGCTCACACATTGTAAAGAAATATTCTAAACCTTTGGATTGGACACTAAATAAAGTAACATTTCTGTGTCTTATCAAAAGGAGTAGACATTGCCCACAAAAAACTCAAAAAAGCATCCTATGAGAAATTTCACCAGCACAAGTTACAATTGCACTAATTAAGAAAGATCTCTGCTGCACCTTAAGTGATTTATTTCTCTTCTTTAATCATGAGCCAACATAGTGAATGGGAAAGGAACTTAAGGTGTGAATTGTGGAAAGAAGTGACTAATTCACCTTTTCCTTTCTTGATCATTATAACTTTTGAGCCTAAAACTAGCCCAGCTGGAAGAAATAAAAGCATTAAACTGAACTGTATATTTTAATGCAGGGCTTTCTCTCCAAAAAGTATGGATCTTTCCAAGAACTTTCTAGGAAAAAATCATGTCAGTTCAAGGAGCATGTTTGTAAGATGGTCTTTAGGTCTTTAGGTTCCAACCCAGCCTAGGTTGTTCAATAAACTTGTTCAGAAATGTTATGTGAGAACATTCTCCTTGCTATTATACTTGAAGATGTAACACTGAAAATCTTAAAAGAAAAGGCTACAGGTTTTGAAATATTCATGTGTATACAGACTTTTTGATTGAGACAAAAATGTTTAATGAAATCAAACCTTCCAGACTTTAAATTGCAATCCAATTCACATGAATACAAATGAGCTTTAAAATAAAGTTGCATATGTATAAAAAGTCAAATAAGGAAATATAAATCAGCAGCTAGATTTGTATCTATTTAATTCTAAGCCATGGTAAGAGAATTGCTCTGCTGTGGCTCAGTCACACACTACTAAAAAACAATTCATGACTTTTTTCCATTTTATGTAATATTTTATTTTGCCTGATTATGTGTTCTCATAAAATAGACCTCTATGAGTTATATAAATGTTAAAAGGAGTTATTTCTGGTAAATGTTATTGGCAATAAGAAATTGGCTTACATACACTATTTTAGAATTGCTGGGGGGTTTATAGAAATCAAATTTATCACCATGTAAATTCATAACACACATTTCATAGCTTTGTTGTTATTGTTCTGTTTGTGTGTGTGTGTGTGTGTGTGTGTGTGTGTGTGTATAATCTACTGTATTCTTTGCTCACATTCTCCAGTTTTCTGATTCTCTTCTGTTGGCTTTTTCTAAGTGTCAGATAAATTGAATGCTATTAGTGAAGATGATGTAATGCAAATGTTTTTATGAGTTCCCATAAAACATTACATTGCTAGAGTAAATTATTCAGTATGTGATGCAAGCTAAAAAAAATTTCTTCTATCCTAAAAATTATTTAAATCATAATAGCCTATACAGAGTTGAGTGATATTTTGATATTTTCAAATATTAATTATAAATATAAGATTTAGAGTTGGCAACTAAATCATATTTAGTTATATTAAAGATCCACTTGTTTATTGTAAGATTAATCAGCATAGTTGTCAAGTACTTGCCAACATATATAAAAATAGACATGACTATTGAATGTAATAAATGCGTAAATACCAGCGGAAAGGGCAGACTTGGCAAGAACAATTAAACACATGAATGAATTCTATACTATATAAAACTTCTATTTTATATTACCAATTGGGAATTGGGTACAGATGTGTAATTTGGTTTTTGTAGAGAATATTTTCTTTTAATTTTGCTTACAGGCAAAATTATGTGCAAATCTGAGATTTTAATGTCCTCAAGTGAGGTAAAAGACAAGAATTCAAAAGCATATTTAAATAAATATTTCATATTTATTAACTTTGAGAGCTTCATGGTGAGCTGTATAATCGTTTGTCATCCAGGAAACT